ATAGTGGGATTCACCTTTGAATGTCGACAAAACAAAGTCAGGTTAATTAATTATGCAAAACATTTTTTTTTTTGTTTACATAAAAATCATATATTACAGGTGTAGTACAAGACGTGTGCAGATTTTAAAGCATGAAAATAGTGCTTACATTTGATCTGATATACTTAACTGATGTTGACTTCAGAAAAATATGACAAGTTATGAAATTATAAATTATATAAACTTTCATGTGCAAATAAAGTTGTAAGTTTTAAATACGTCAGCATTATGTATATATACTTAAATAATTAAAAACAAATGAGACGTGTCCAATATTTGCTTTAAGTACCTGTGCATCTTACTCTACCATGTACATTCCTAAATTCTCCTGACCAGTACATTTTCCCATCATGGACACTTCAATATAGTTCATAATGGTTCTTTTTCAACTTGTATAAATTTACAATTGTGCAATAAATTTAGTCTACCAGAATTCGAAATATAAATCCAATTTTTCCTCGATACCTAAACTAGACGTTTGGATAATTTTATTAAATTTATCATACCAAGATGATCTAAACCGGATTTTAACTTAGGAATTGGTGAAAATATTGGTGAAAAATTGGAAAAAATATGGGATAATTGTATCAGGGCCAACATTACCCTGTATATAAGGCTATTTTATGATTTTTACAGTAGTAGTATTAAACACCACTGAATTTCTAATATTTGATGTGTAATGGGACAATTCGGTTAAGGTGTGTGTGAATCATAAGTGGTTTTGCATTTTCATACTGACTTATTTTTGCTTTCAGAGAGTCAAGTTGATAATAGTTTCATATGCATTCCTCTGTTTAGCCTTCTCTTATTTTTAGTTCAATTTTTACTCTTCAGTTTTGTATGAAATAGTCTTCATTTTCATAAATAGAACTTTCTCTTTAAGTTCAAAGAGTTTCTTTGTTTAAATTTAATAGTTCTGTGATTGTTCATGGTCTGCTGTTGTTGATATTTATCAATAAAGTATTTGTTTTGTTTGTTTTTACACCAAATCTTGTCTCTTTGTGGCAACTGTATTTACCCTCTTGTTACTGTAATAATAAAAAGAAAAGAATTATGAGGAATTCCCTTAACCCAACCTAACAAGGATACAATTGAATATTGTCTGTGTGAGAAAGCATATTTGTGTAAGCCTCACAAGATAAACAATTTTAACAAGAAACAATTAAATTAGAAATTCATAAAAACATTATGATAAAACTCTACAACCACTTGACTGATGTTGAAGTGGATAATACAATAAAGGAACCAAACATTATCAGACAGTTCTGTTCCTACCATTATCAGTATGATCATTATGTTAGAAAAACACGTAGGTTCAAGAAGTCTTGATAGAAATGAATAAAAACGCTATAACCCGAACACCTTCAAAAGGTGGACCTTTCTTCTCCAAGCTATACAGTTTAAAAGCACTGACCCTCTTGTTTCAATTCATTTGAAGTACAAATGTCATTTAAAAACGACCTCACTGTTTGGGAGAGTTACATAAGGACTTTCTGATGCAAAGATCCCCTATTCCATGATTTTGAAAGCATTCATGGCATGAAAGTTCAGCATTGTAAAAAAAGGAATATCTGTTGTGTTTAACTGTGTCAGTAAGTCAAGGAAAGGTGTAATACTAGCAGTGAAAAAACACATCATCAGCTATTCACAAGTGGTAGTGAGGAGAGAAAAGAACTTTGTCACTGGTAGTAACCCAAGAACACAGCAGTCCACTGTAGTTGATGAATGGACATCCCTTGGATATGTAAACAAGATAAGTCACACATATTTATGCCTAAAAAAAAGTGACACCAGAGCCATATTCCCAAGCTTCTTCTAAAGCAAATAGTGAAGGGGAAAATTAATTAGTTGAAAACTTTATGAGTGGTACCTGGCATATGACAAATTGAAGTATGTTACCAAACTGGATGAATTACATTATCTATTTAGGTCTCTGCAAAAGTCTCGGAAATATATTATTCTCCTGCTAGTGATACATTTCAAAAAATGGTATACATAACATATCATAAAACTCCGTTCAGAGGATTTATGGCGGTAGCAGGTTACACCTAGAATGGTGAATTACAATTGGGAAAAAATCATTCAAAGACATTTCACATGGTTTTCTGTACTTTTGGGTTGCTCAAACAGGCCTTTAGAAGATACTGTTTGTACACACCTGATGGACTTTAGAAAGCATGTAAACCATTATGACATCAGTAGTAGAAGTACAAGCTGTAAGGTCTAGGTACTCATCTTTGTATAGTTACCAAAGATTGTGAACATCTCTGTAATGATAAAACAACATTGTCTATCATTTCACTTTGGGATTTTTTATTGTACCAGAAATTTATTTTAACTGTTCTTGATGAATTGTGTGGTTTAATCTGGTGCAAAACAATGTATTTGTGTAGTAAAAAAAATCATTGCTATTGATCAATTCTAATGACAGAAACCTCTAGTCACATAAATGGCAATGAAAAAATAAAAGTAAATTAAACTAAAATATCTACACGTAAATGACCAACACACCACAAATTTTTTAACAGATTAAATATTTGTTAGATTTTGAAACCTTAGTTTGGAAAAGCATTATATTGGAAATGTGTGTGAATGCATGATAGACAGAGAACTATTAAATTTAATATCCACATATTCAAGCAAAAACATTATTCAGAGAAATTTTAAAGGTTAATGTCTGGTCAATAAATTATGCTCAAGTAAAATAAATGGATATATCACACTACCAAAAAAATATAATTTAATTTTTTCTCAATATAAACTTTTTATTGTCTCTCAAGTAGCAATTTCCTTGATAAATCTTAAAATCTCAAATCAATTTGCTTTGGAAAGGTTTGTGTTGCTTTGATCAAGGATGTCAGAGTTCAAAAATTTTTTTGTTATACCTACAATTATGATGTGTTATTTTCATTAAAATAAGTTTAGTATTTGATTTAAAAACAAAATGATTTCTCCAAGTCCATTCATATTGTGTATATTTTGCATGATTTATGAAGACCATATTTTAAACTACAAAATTTGTAATAAAGCCATGTAAAAGATATGTTATTTAGGAATATATATGATACAGAATTTACAGATATTTTCTTGAAAAAAAAGAGAGGCCTAAGTTATGCTGAGGCATGAAGAGAAAAATAATGATGTTTATAACTCACAAAAAGTTCGCTTTTTTGTGACCCCATGTAAAAAAAACACACACAAGAGACACAAGTCATTGTAATTTTTTTAAAATTTTATGGTGGTTTCTAAAAACTATGGTGCACAATGCATGTCCACACACAACAACAAAACTGCAACAGCGAATCTGAAATATAGGCTATTAACTTATAATTTTGTGTGGATAAATATCCCACCAAAGTATATCTTATAAAAACAAATTAGTGCTTACATTATCTATTAACATTTTTAGTTTACACCTATACAAAAAGCAGTTGTAGTGCTGATACATCCATTCTTTCTTTACCTACATTAATGGGCGGCTCACATAAATCATCACAGAGGCTTTCCTCCGTTTGCTTCAGCATCAATCCAAGTCTTCTTAAGACTAAATAGGATTTACCCCTACATTTCAACAATACATTTTTTGGTTTACATGTACAATCCACATAAAACGTTGGGAAAAAAAGTTTTTGTACACATTTATTTCTACCTGAATAAACTAGAATGTCAAAACCAACAAATACGTAAAATATATTCAAATGAACACAACTCCAAGTTCACAAATGAGATGTCTGCTTTTCAATAAACAGTCTTCATTTTGTTTTCATAATGAATCCTCAATAAAAATGAGGCACAAAATACAGTGTGAAGATATTAACGATTACTTGGGACAATGTAACAAACAGCTGCACTGAACAAGTAGTATATATATATATATATATATATATATATATATATATATATATATAGTTATA